TCTCACTACGGCTGTGCAGTTCAGGCTGGCCTTGAGCCTTGAGCTCACTTTGTATCCCAGGCTGGCCTCGAACTCCCAACAATCCTCCTGCCTCAGCCTCCCAGTGCTGGAATTACAGGCATGCACCACCACACCCAGCTTAGTGTGATGTTTTAGATAAGCAAGCTTACAATTACAGTGAGCCTTCCATATCCACAGATTCAATCAACTTCAAATGGAAAATATTAGGGAAAAACCTGTGCCTGTATTGAACATGTACATACTTGTTTGGCATTGTTCTCTACAATATAACTTTATAAATAGGTAATCTAGAGATCAGTTAAAGTATACAGAGGCTATACATGGTTATATGCAAAACTCTGGAACCAATGCCCCATGGATACTAAGGACAACTGTATTTGAAGCTGAAATTACATGTGCTTTCCTGAAGCTAGTAACTTTAATGATGTCATAAGACCTCAAACACTGCACGATTTGACTGAATCCAATAGAATCACTGGGTTTTAGTAAATCAAAAAGTCTAATATTAATGATTCCACATAGTTCAACCTACTATTAACAATATTCTACAAGAAGAGTAAAATACTGTGACTTACTCATTTTTTTCTGCAAGTGTTATAACACAGTCCTTTTTTTTTTTTTTTTTTTTTTTTTGAGACAGGATCTCGCTATGCAGTTCAGGCAGGCCTTGAGCTCACTTTGTAGCCCAGGCTGGTCTCAAACTCACAACGATCCTGCCTCAGCCTCCCAGTGCTGGGATTACAAGCATGCGCCACCATGCTCGGCAACATAGTCCATATTTAATGGTAACACTAAGGAAGCAGGGAAAAACTGAAGTGTAATGGATCACTGGAGATCCACTATCAGTGGAGAAAATGTCAATGGAGAAAAAAAGAAGCTAGCTAGTATACAGATTTCACACCTTAGAAACACATGTTGTATAAAGTATGCAATAAGGCAAGGGATATAGCTCAGTGGCACAGTACTTACCTGGCAAGCACAAGGCCCGGAGTTCGATTCCAGCCCCCCTCCCCAAAAAAAGTAAATAAAAACTAGATCATTGCTGGGTGTGGTGGTGCATGTCTGTAATCCCAGCACTTGGGAGGCTGAGACAGGAGGACTGTTCTGAGTTCAAGACCAGCCTGGGCTACAAAGTGAGCTCAAGGCCAGCCTGAACTGCATAGCGAGACCCTGTCTCAAAAAAGGCAAAAAAATAAAGTATGCAATAAAGGCCAACACAAATGATCCTTCAAAAAACAGTAAAGAAGGTTGGGGGTGGGGGTGCATGCTTGTAATCCCAGCACTCAGGGGGCTGAGGCAGTAGGACTGCCCCAATGTAACTTGGGCTACATAGTGAGTTTAAGGCCAGCATGAACTATACAGTGAGACTCCTCTCTCCAAAAAAAAAAACAAAAAAACACTAATACAAGTGTACATTCTATAAGCAGTCTGTTTTCTCATTCCCTTCCCCTTTTTCCTTATATACTAGCACTTAAAAAAAAGTTTAAATTAGAATGTTTGAAAATAGTGAAGAAATTCTGAAGGCATTGTGAGGTTTCCAAAGGTAATTACAACGTTTGTGGTTTTTTTTTAAAGAGAATTAAATACCACTCTTAAGAATAATCACAGAACCAAGAAAAATAATACAAGATAGCAAGATTTTTCTGGAGAAAACAGAGGCAGAAAGTGAAAGAAAAGACCAAGGGGACACTGGAGATTCACCCTTGTGAGCAGAAAAGAAGCAGCAGCAGTGCTGCAGAGAAACAGCACCATCAGGAGTTTCAAGCGCCCTATCAAGCTGCAAGGCTGCTATCCAAGTCAAGTGACGGGAAGGCCTGACCGAAGAATATGAAGGTATCTAGACTGTTTATACATACCTTGGGTCTTTTTAATCTAAGAAATACGCCTGCTGAAATCTAATGCCTACAATTAATGTCACTATTATTATTACTACTACCACTACTATTAATATCACTGCTTTCCGATTAGGAAAGATGAAAGACACGCTAGCACATCTTTTCAGCTATACACAGCAGTATGGATATCATACTCATTCAATGCCAAATGGCCCTGGTATGGCTTGCTCTCCTCAGCAGGGTCGACTACCAGGAGAAACAGCTGCCAGGACACATGCACATTACATCGTCAGAGAAGGAGTGTTGGGGGGGGAACCAACCTGCCTCTGCATTCAGCTCCTCTAGAAGCCGGCTGGTCCTCCAGGTAGCTCCTGTGTCCTGGCCGCCTACAGAATTAGTGTGCTCTTGAACTACTGCAGCCGCCAATAAATTGTCCACATTTACCACTTCTGGGTCAGAGCTGGTGTCAGATATATCATAATGAGCTACAACTGGAGGTCCATCTAGGGAGGAAAGAAAATGTATACTTGTATCTAACTTGTGGGGTAAAAAATAACTCTGAAACTAACAGCCCTCTAAATGCCAGTTGCCTTTACCCTTATATCTGACTAGAAAAGCTATACTTTTCACATCTAATATTTGGACATGATGTGAAAGTGAAAAAGATAACCTGAGCTTACAAAGATGAGGGACACATTTTGAAAGAAGAAAAAAGAGTTATGAAGAACAGAAGAGGACAAGACTGTACCGAACAATGTTACACTGAATTCCCCTCATACTCCTAAAGCAACAGATTAAGAAAAATGGGATGACTCTACAAAGAAAGCGAAACTGACTTTTTAAAGGAAAAAATGACATAAATTGTTAAAACCCAATTTATTGTTTTTAAGAGAATAAATCTAGTTTTTTCTCTTAGTACCCAATACTTAAAGTTCCTAGTAGTCAGAGAAGAAAATCAAATATATATTTTCCTACTTACTAGAAATAAAGTTAACATGAGAACTCTACTTAACTAACATATATTTCCAGTAAAGCCTTTTTATAATAATAGGGAAGTTATACACATTGTAACACTCTACAAAAAGACAATATCCCCAAACCCCATTTTCAGGATTATGCTTCCCATGTCTTGTGAGCACTATTTACATTTTCTTTTCCCTGAGAAAGACAACCAGCTCACACTCCAAATAAATTATATGCAATCATTCATATATATATATATTTTTTTTTTGGTGGGGGGAGGCTTCTTTTTGAGACAGAGTTTTGCCACACAGTTCAGCCTGGCCTTGAACTCACTTTGTAACCCAGGCTGGCCTTGAACTCCCGGCAATCCTCCTGCCTCAGCCTCCCAAGTGCTGGGATTACAGGCATGCGCCACCACGCCCAGCCAATGATATACAATCTTATGAGTGGTTTTACAGGAAGATATTAAAATTCTTACTGGAAAAATAAGAGATCCTTCCCATGCCCCAGTCACTCTAACCAGGTGAAAAAGGTAAAGCTGAATTCCAAAGTAATTACACTATAGCAATTCATGCTTAAAATAAGCCAATATTCATGCTTGTAGAATAGATACATGCTTTAAAATGCTAATGCTACCCTTTTCCTAACAAGACAGGAAAAGCAAAACTAAAAATTTCATTCAAGAAATCCCTCTACTACCCCCACTTTAGATGAAGCTAAAATAGGGGCTAAGGATGTAGCTCAATGGTGGATGCTTGCCTAGAATAAAGCTAAAATAAACGAATGATGTTTCTCTTCCCATAGCTCTTTATAAAGTGCAAGCAAACCATGTATTTCCATATAGATTTTAAAATATCACCAAATGATTAAACATATCTATCTTATAAAACTCTTGACCAAGAAGAAATACATATGCCAATGAGTCATAAAAATATAACAATTTAATACATGTATCCATTATGTAAACTGCTACTAGACAAAAACATGGAACACACCTGGGTATTTATCTCTAAAAATTAAGCTCCAAACCATAGGTTTATATAACAACGTTTTAAAAACAAAAATGACAGAACATAAAAGCAAATGAATTGTTAGGTGCCACAGTATAAAGAACAGACATGTCACAATATGAAATTCTGACGATCATGACAATTTTAGTTGACTATTATTTCCAGATCCCCTAATAGGGCAATCAAGCTCATTAAAGACAGTAAACTTTAATAATGTGGCCTGGGTTTCAGTTAGTAATGAATTTTGGTTCCAATAGCAGAAAAAAAAATTTTTGTTTATGTTTAAAGTTTTTCTTTTCTAAAACAAGAAAAGAAAGCTGCACCATTCTACGGAGTTTTCGTCAGAGTTCAAAATGATTATTATGGAATCAAGATACTGTGTGATGTCCAAATACTTAGGAGCAGAGTATATGAGGGCCAAGTACAATATTGACTATTTGACCATATGTTCTATTTTTCAAAGAGCTTTGTGGTTTTATCCAAGTGTTTGCAATAAATTAGCAATTTATTTTAAAATTTATATCATTAACACCATTCAGAGACTCTTGCCTTACATTCCCCACCTCTACCCACAAATTGAAGCAAAGGTCAACAGTCAAGTCAAAATTGTACCACTCCTACATGTATAATCATGCAAAAAAGTATATGTGTATATATACATGCAGAGTGACATCACCTACCCATGGAAATAACTTCTCTGAAAGTCTTCATCAGTAGAAAATACAAGCATAAACTTGTTATCTGGCTTCATTCTTGTATCTTCCATATTTCCAAACAGCATACCTTATAACTTAGCTTAAATTTAGTATTTATCATAAACAAAGCAAAATTTTCATATTTCAGTTATACTTAACAGTTAAATTATGACTGTCAGCTTTCACTTCCAATATATTCAAACAATGACAAGATGGTAATATACAAACTTCAATAAAGGAAGGGAATGGTGGTCTTTACAACTCCGTCTTTTAGTAAGAAACCAAATTAAAGATCCTGTGCATCCTAAACCTATTATTAGCAAACCAAGATTGAACAGCATGTGTTTAAAGCACGTGTCATCATGGCTTGTACTCTAAACCAGTACGCAATATTAGCTAACTGGGGGTGAAAATCTGTGATAGTCTTTTAAAATGGGATTCTTTCCACACAGAATTATGAGCAGGTACAATTTAGTAGTTTTTAATGTACCTTTAAAAAGAAGTATCTCTTGAAAGGGAAAATAACTCAGAACATGAAGGAGGCAGAAACTCCAGCACATTTAACATGCAAAGCTATTGTCTAACTCTGTTAATTCATTACAGAATAGAACAAACTTATGGATACTACTATTGCTCTCATTTAATGATTCTTCTATGCTATTAAAACAACTGTATTGCTACTAACAAGATTGTTTGACTTTGAACAACATCAAAATAGTCACTTCAAGTGAAGTTATTCATGGAAACACTGCCAGTCTCAGATTTACTCAATAACATAAGCACTTTCCATGCTTCAAGCACTTAAGGTTAACTAAACTGCACATTTGCCTCTATGTGCCAAATCCGATGTCTGTCACAGTCCTAAGACATAAAATTTTAATAATGAACTTTGTAGTTTTTCTATAATCATTACAGGCATCACTCTAGAAAGTAAATTTAATACTAGTTAATGGTTATTTATTTATGGTTAATCCAGATGCTGTTTCTCCTTCTGACTGAAATCTTGAATTTTTTTCTACTTGCTACCATCATGAGCAAGAAGAATTAAGCAATTCACCAGCTACTTTTTAAGAACATCAACTCATACATTTCATGTTATGTTTGTACCTTCACTAATCCTCTAGCCTAATGGGTTCTAATTTTTCAAATACCAAAACACAAATGTTTTTATGTTGTTACACATTCCTAATACATTGAGATTTATTCTTTCATGGCCTTAAATTTATCCCATTATTACCATCAAATGTTTAATGCTTTAGTTCCCTTGTCAAGTATGTTCTAATGAAAAAACTGAATCACAAAAATAAAGCAAAACAAAATCTAATTTTTCCTTTATCCATGACAAATTTCTCTTCAAAAGTGACAACCAGAAACATAGCATTTTAAGACCACATAAATTACACAAATCACCACTCCACTGTACAAATGAGAAATCCTAGTTCCAATTAGGTAGAACCAGAATAAACTACAGTTGTTCTCACTGTTGAAGGAAAGACGAATACACAGGATGAGACTGGCAGCAGCATGGGAAGTAAATTTTTGGCAGCAGACACCCAGGTTAAAGCTATGCCTACTCTCTTTTAGCTATATGACTTTATTTCATTCCTGTTTCTTCACAGGAATAAGAGTTCAAATGCTGGTCCACTGCTCCACCTTTCCACTCATTGTAAGCAGCACTGGCCTACTTTGCTCTTGGTTTCCTTTTGCACATACACTCTGCTGTACACGGCCTACATGGGAGAGGCTCTGAAGAAAATACCACTGCTTGGGTTGGTGCCTTATGCTCCCCCTATATAAATCCCACTCATTAAGTAAATCCTTTGCTAGAATTAAGTTAAATGAGATCATCACAAATATGGCTTTTATATTTTTGTTTGAAGTTAAGATGTGAGCTTGTATGTATTCATATAAAAACATCTAAAAACCAAACTGGTTGTTCTGGCTTAGGCCATACTTGGCATCATCTTTGTCTGCAGAGCACTGCCAATAAATACATTTTTAGTCTATCATTATAAACTCTTAAGTTTAGAACAGGAATTTCTCTGTACCCCTGAGATACATAGACACACTGCACCTCCTCCTCTCTATTGTTACATTGTTGCTCCAAAGAAAGGCAGGATAATTACCACTACATAGTTTGTTCCTTTGGCCCCACTTCTAAGCCCAGAGAATATTTCTTCCTTCCTCTTTACTATCACGATCCCTCCAACCCCCTTATTGCTGCTAAAGGACCTCATATAGACATCTTCTTCCCAAGAGCTTGGAGGTAGGGGACAGACATCACACTCGGCTTCAATCCAAGTAAGACCCAAAAATTTAGAAATTACCAAGCCAAAGGACCTTAGAAGACAAAATGTGTATGTGTGCACAATTTCAGATGAGGGAATGGGATGTGAGCATACGGAACACAGAGAAAGAGGCCAATCTCTAAAGACACAAAATAATTTGCATTTTAGAAAAAACTATTGAAGAAAACGCACTCATTACACAGTAGAATATTTACTAAATATTACTAAAATGAAAACTCAAATGTGTAAATAATATTTAAGAGAATATGCTGTATGTTCATTATGAACAATCAAAAACTGGAAATATATGCACAGTTTGAATAATAGAAAACATTGTCAGAGCATCTCTGCTCCAGAAAAAGAGTATCAGGGGCTGGGGATTTAGCTCAGCGGCACAGCGCCTGCCTGGGAAGTGCAAGGTCCTGAGTTCGATTCCTGGTACCGGAAGAAAAACAAAAACAAAAACAAAAAACAAACAGAAAAAAAGAGTATCACTAGAAGACAAAGCCCACCATGGTATTGCAGGTGCATACCTGTAATCCCAGCA